ATTTTTTTTTTTTAGAAATGCATCCACTCTTTTACATTCAATATAACATGTTTATTTTCAGAAACAGAGTATAGAAATGCAGATGTTTGCCCACCAACTCATCACTGATGCAGCACAACAACAAGACCAGGTCTTTAAAACAGTGACCCCCTCAGGCAGGACTTCCACAGTGGAGATCAGCACCACTGAAAGTCCCTCTGTGGAGGGGAGTGTACATTTCCCTTGACGCGGCTTGACTTGTGTACATTTGTAGTAGATTTAATTATGAACCAAAGTTGTAATCCAACTACACGGACACATTATCTGCACTCCATCTTTACATTTTCCTCCAAAGATTTGGACAACCCTAAAACTACTGTTTATGTTTGCAGTCGTGATCACAGCCATGGAGATGAATGGTGAAAGTCTGAGTGAAGTGCCATCTGATGCTGCAGACAAACTGTTCTGTCTCCAGTGTTGATCTATTTCTGTAGAGGTTCAAGTGTTTGGAGGCCGTCCAATCCCCTGTCAGTGGAACTAAGCTGCGGAGTTTTAGATTGGAATGGCGATGTGCTCACCAGCTGTGAGATTAAGGGGAACTGATCGATGGCCTCTCTGATTGGCTCTCGCCGTGTCCCAGCAGCATCCAATCCCCTCGGTTCGGATGGTTGTCCTCAGCCAAAACCAATTCTTTTCTCAACACAGGGGCCAAATAAGATTGCTGACCTGAAGCTACGAGGCCACGCCTGTAGGATCTGTCTCCATCAGTCTGCATTTTTTTATTGGAAACACTGAGACAGAATGAAGACAAGAGGAGCATTGACAAATCAGTTTTATTTTTCTCCATCCTAGAGTCACCACTTTTTGTTGTTGGGTTTTGTCCAATGTATTTTCTGCTGACAACAGGGGGGCTAATGCTGCGCCGCACTGCCTTACTCACACACAAGGTGTCAGGTAAACCGGTGTTGACGAAGGTTATTGTCTAGAAACCCAACATTTGAAATATCACTCAAGTCGTAGTTTTTTATTTAATCATAAAGTACCGTAACAAAAATCATCACAAAAAATGTTTTTTTTTTAGTTAAGCTGAGGATTTAGTCCTTCAATTGACCATGTCGTTCTCCATGTCATCCACCTCTTTTATAATGAAACTTCCACAGGAAATCTGATTTTCCCATAAACACCGTCTGCTCTTTGTGTTCATTCTCAAATCTGTATCTTTCATTTTTAGTGCCCCTCTTCATCCGTAGGTGTTTCTGATTCAGTACAAACTTCGTCCACTGATGCAGATGAGGCCGCAGGGAACACAAAATGTCAGCTTTGAATAATCTCAATCTAATTTTAAAAAGTGCCAGCGCTTCACTTATTTATCCTTCTGATATCTTTCAGATTGAGTGTACACTCTTACTCACTCCCTTCTTGGTTGTGGTTTCCATGGGAACCTAACCCAATTGACCTACAGTTATTTATTTAGTTTATTGTAATTTTTCCCATTGAAGCCTGAGCAGGGCTGCCATCCTGCCATGAATATTTTGTCCCGTCTGCTCCGTGCACTCTGTATCAGGAGTTTTTAAACAGATGCGGGCAAAAAGTAAAGCAAAGAAAATCTGAATAAATTTTTAAAAAAAGCACACGCTGTCGTTATAATTTAGTGCTAATATAAACCTACCCAGAAATGTGTGTTTTATAATATAATCAAATACACGGTTAAACACTCAATCATGGAGGTTAAAGTTCTTCTGATTCCACGTCAGTATAACATATACTGTAGTTTAACTGAAGGTGTTGGTCATAAATGAGTCACGGGGTAAATTAGGTGGAGCCACAGAGGCAGTGTTTTCACCGTGTTCGTTTTTGTCCCTTTTTTTGCTCCACTTCAGTTGGTTCTTTCACTGCTCCGCTCTTTTCAAATCACTTTTTCCTTTAAGTCACTCAGAGAGAGAACAGATTGTGCAGATCTACAGATATTGTCTGCCCCAGTAGAAAGACTAGACTTTTAATAATTCAAAGTCATTCTGTCTCAGCACTAAGGCACCGTCAATAAGTGAATTACTTTTTTTTTAAAGAAAAGCGCAGAGCTTCAGTGTTTTAATGTGGTTCTCCAGCAAATGATTCCCCAAATCGTTGGAGAACCACGGCTTTATTGTATGTATGTCTTACTGTCCCTTATTGTATATAAACATTTGACCGTTTTTGAATAATACAACAACACTGTCTAAAATCAGACCAGCTGAAAGTATACACTAATGTGCGTCATTTATTTGAGAAAAAAATGCAAATGTAATTTATATAAAACACGAGGGCCTTTCAGTCAGAGGGAACTATTTAAGAAAGTTTTACTTGAATTAAGTGACTTCCAAAACTAACAGAACCATTCTGTTTTCACTTTTGTAAGTAACACACTCTCAAGTAAATGATACTCTGGAGGATTCAGTGGAAAAACACGTCAAATCCTAATGCATCTGTCACAAAAGACCACCATACTTGTCAGCTCTACATATTTAATCAACTGTGCTGCCATCTAGTGGAAACTCTGCGATTGTCTTCTTTCTCGACTTGTGCTCTTTGTTTTTTCTTTTTCTTTTTTGTCTTAGCTCTCACCTTTTCTTACTTCACATGTGAAATCTCTCTTTAATGAAGCGTTTCTTTTTGAAGTTGTCTTATTTACGACGGGTTCAAAGTGAAACAGCGGGATTTAAAAGAGGTCAGAACATCCACGTTATTAGCCCATGTTTGACTTTAATTTCCTCTAGAACAGCCAATGCTTTTACAGCATTTGCAAAAGAAACACGCGCCGATAAATCAAATCACCGATTTTTTTTGAGAATGTGAGGCAGAACGTTCAGCACAGCATTGTAGTTACGTAAGTGTATTTAAGGAGAACAGAACAGGAAAGAATGATTTATAACCAGAACTGGTATGAAGGTATGAAAAATACTAATAGATTATTCAGCTACATTAGGAATAAAAAAATCAACTAGTCCAAGAATATATCAAATGTAAATTTTAATTAAATCCTCTGTTTTAATGTCAACAACTACAGGTGTCAAGGGAGAAGATTTCTCTTTTATTTACGTTTATTTAAATGGTTAAATATAATAAAAGCAGTTCAAAACATTTAATCACATAACATGTCTGATTTATCCACTGTGCCCTGATACATATATACTGTCTCATTCTGGGAAAATGAAAATTTTTTTTTTTAAATCACCTTTTTTGATAAGCACACATTCATAAAAACATCAGTTAAATGTTTTTATGGTGATTAAAAATGTATAAAAACATTACCTTCAAAATTTTTTAAAATTTTATTTAGTTTTTGGCATCACAGGATTCATTAATAAATATGAACATCCCTGAACATTCTTAGTCAGTGGGGTTTAGTCGAGTCATTCCCAACCTCTGGGTTAGGGCCTAAAAATGCGTCACTGTTTTTAGTCACTGAACACATTATATTTGAGTAGAAATAGTTTTGTAGGATTGGTATTTTTCTCAGGATTGGTGTTTTAAATAATGTAACTATTATTATTACCATGTTTTTATTTTTCTCTCTTTCTCTTCCTCAGGAGTCACCACTCTGGTAGTATTCTCCGACCTTCCTGACGCCACAGCCCCCCCTGGGTGAGTAGGTTGAGTGGATTCAAACCCAGGACGTGCTGCCTGTAACACTGTGCCACAGATGCCCCTCTCAACTGAAGAAGTTGTTGTTTAAAAATGTTGTAGAGTCAGTAAGTACAGTATATTCAAATATTAAAACACAAATATAGTCTTCTCCTTGAGTCTAAATGTTACACTATACTGAACACTATATGTCTCAAACTGAGGCCTAATTATCCAACGATACACTACTGCAGGGTAATAGTACAAAAAAAAGCAACCCCCCCCCCCCCCCCCCCCGCCTCCCCATCACCACCACTCCCTCCTCTAAACCCATTAAACCTGAGCCGCCTGCATTCGCTGCACTGAACTGTGGAACATTATCCACACTTCACAGCAGTCGTGCAGCTGCAGCTGGAAGATGCACAAAGCCAGGTTTAAATGCAGTGTGTTGACATGTGTTCACTCAGTGTGCCATAGTGTTGGCAGGAACCCCCACTGACACACAGGCTGGAACACTCTGGTGGTAGAGCGGAGGCTCTGCACCCAGACAAGACAAACCTGTGGTTTTAAAGGAAACGCTTCAGTCAGGAAGGAATAAGAAATGATGTTGGAAATGAAATGGAATCAACTCTTGGTCTTTGCAGTTTTTTTTTAACTTTAACTTTTATCAAAAAACCACCACAGTGCAGTTTTTTTTCTTTAACTTTTATCAAAAAACCACCACATAGAAAGTTGGCCTTGAATGTAATCAGATGATTTCAGATTTAAAACCTAATATTTGTTTTACAGTTCTGGCTCACGCTGAGCATAAATCTTGGCCGACCGAGTCCAGACAACACTGAACTCTGTATTTAGGATTTTTCTGTGAGAGCTCTCACACATGGTTCTCAGGTGCTAAGACTGTGAGTCTGATTAGACCTGTTTCTGCAGGTACAGACTGTTCTAAATTTACATTTTCCTCAGGGCCGCGTGGCACCTGGGCAGGATCATTTACACCTCCATCACTTTTCTTATACGTGTACTGTAATTTAATGAGCTTGCAGCTTCAGCTCACCGAGCTGCACACAGTGTGAGCGTGTTTGGAATTAGCTTTAATGTGTGGCATTGAATTCCTGGATTCCACTGTGTGTGTGTGTGTGTGTGTGTGTGTGTTTTGTTTTTGCTGCTTTTTCTGCTTTAAGCCGCTGCTCATGGTCATGTGCAGCAGTTTTGGAAGTAATTCAGGCTCTGTATTATAAAAAAAAATCTATGAACATTAAAGTGGTAATTAATCGCCCAATCACTATATATGACAAAATCTAATTAATCACAAGGACGTTGTTGATTAATTGTAAATAGTCGAAATTAATCAACATTCCTCAAAATAAAAACATGTCTGAAACACAAAGTCAACAGCTGGTAATGGAGGAGGATGGGGAAACATGTCAACAGCTGGTAATGGAGGAGGATGGAAAACTGTATATTATGAATAATTATTATCGCTGTAACACGTACATTCTGACAGCCTTACAGAATGCTTTCATTTTCGTTAGACCCCAGGTTGAGAACCCTCTGCCGCACTCTTTAAAAACAACAAAATATTTCCGCATACTAACAAAAACCACTGAATACATGTTTGTACAAGACCAGTGCTGTGAGCACGGAGTTGGTGTTTGAACCAAACGTTCAACTGTTGGCACTCACTGCTCAACGGTGTGAGGTCACGACCGGTCCCATCATCACCGATTGTCCCCGTCTCCACAGTACGTCAAACCGACTTCCTTCTCTTCCCAAACACGTTGTTGATGAGTTTGGCCATAGACTTCGAGCCGCTGTAGCGACGTCGGTCTGCCCTGTACTTCAGGTGCTCCATCGTCTGTCGGATCAGTCGTGTAAAGAGGTTGGCGATATCCTGGTAGCTCTCGGCCGCCGAGACTTCCTGGAAGGTGCAGTGGTTCTCCTGTGCCAGGCAGCGGCCCTCCTCCTCGTACACCTGCCGCACGTGACACAGGTCCTGCTTGTTCCCCACCAGACACACAGGAACCTCCATCTCCCTAAAAAAAGAGAGGGTGGGCTTGTGAGAAATAGAAGATGTGGAGCCTTGACGTTATTTTTGATCCCTGCTGAGCTCAGAGCTGCAAATTTACAACATGAACGGTTTTCAACAGTATTAAAACACCACTGTTGTAAATAAGGTTGTCAACCTAAGATGGAACCAAATCACTTAGTCAAGTGGCCCAGAGAGAAGATATAAACGATAAATGTCTTTCGGTTACTTAGCTCTTTGATTTACATGCAGGGAAACTTAAATAAGGCCAGGAATTCTGCTCCTTATCTCTGGCACACCTGTCAAAAACTAAATAAATATCTTCCCCCACGTTACCCTGGATACTGAGGCACATGACAGGCACTTTGATGAATGAGGTTGGCCTATTTTGCAGCAGACCAACTGTTGATGCCTGTATGTTTTGCAGTGAGTCCTTCACTCCTGGTCATGAATCATTCATCAGTGTGTCGGAGATGGTCAGAACTTGCAGCATTCCTTAAACTCAAAACACTACTTTTTAAGAAAAGTGGGCCAACAACGTTCTCAATTTCTCCTTTTTCAGGTTCACAGCATGTCGGCCAATACCGTTAACATATATTTTACCAGACAGTTTTGTGTTTTTAGGGCCACATGAAATGAAATGAAATGAGCAGCTCCTGCCATGACACTCCAGACTACAACTGATCACCAGGAAAAAACTCTGCATCTACTTAGTGCAGAAGGAATGTATTTTATTTAGCAGTTGTGTTGCCAAATCTACGGTAAGTAACCCAGTTTTGTACATATTCTTTTTTTGTTTATTTATTTGTTCTTTTGGATAAAACAAAAATGCCTTATATTGACTGAACTAGATATCCTACAGCAGCTAGCGTCTATGTAAATGTTTTCACATCTGGTTGCCCACTTTTTAAGTAGTTTTTTTCAATAACAGTTCTTACCTTTTAACACAACATATAGTTGATCGCTGTATATAAACTAGAAAGTTCCGCAGGCTTCAGTAAACAAACATCTCCAGTCAGTGGAGATGCAGGCGTCACCTGTCAACTTTATCAAATAAAGAACTTGTGTTAAAATAAAATATTCATGCTGCTTCTCACCCTTTACAGCTGTCCACGCGAGCTTCCCTGATCTGCCGCAGGATGTTCTCGGCATTGATGAAGGAAGTGCGGTCACTGATGTTGTAGACGACCACAAAGCCGTCGGCCCAGTCCACGGGCTCCTCCAGGATACACCTGGTCTCCGAGCTCTGCCGGCGACAACATATAAGTCATTTGGTGAGATTTCACACTAATATTAACCCAGTGGACAAAATAAATTAGCAACACCTGTTTTCTGTAACACCGTGCATTCTTTGACCACAGCATTAAATCATCCTAAAGCGAAGACTGGGAACAATCTGGTGATTTATACGTTTATGGGATGGTGTGGATTCTTTTTTTCGGAAAGGCGAAATTTACATAATGAAAAAATATGTGAGGATCACCTGTTCTTCCACTCATAATCAGGACTATAAATAGGTGACCTACAAAGCATTTTCATATATTTGATATTTTAGGCTTTTTGTTTAATTAACACTGTGAAATGTAGAAATAACTACGTTTTTTTTTTCACAGTTAAAACCCACTGCAGAAGAAAATAGGTCAATTTTTATTCACTATAAGCTTGAAAAATTATACTAATAAAAATACAATATGATGGCGAAGTTTTACAGTAAGTTTTGTGGAGACTGTTGAAGACGTTTTCAATTTTAGTGTCAGTCTTTTTTTGTCCTAGAATGGGAAAAATGTCATTTTAATACATTTATTTTGTTTTAATAAGGAAGACAGTTTTGATGATATTATTTTTTAGTTGAAGTTTTTAATTAAAATCTTGAATGTTTCTGAGTGGGTGAACTCCATGTCAATGAACAGTGAAATGTGCCCAGGGAGCAGTGTGTGGGGACGGTGCCATCAATGCACCTCTGCAGCTGGTGGACTTGGACCTGTGACCTTCTGGACCCCACTCTGCTTCCATAGCCACCTAGCCACCACTGCTGAATATAGCTAAAATATCTAGAAGTGAGATTGTAATGCTGTTATTGTTACAAAAATAGTTAAATTTCATACACTTTCTTCCTACAGGTCTATGGTAGTCCATTAATAAAGAGTGGATAAAACAATGGTTAGAGACACAGACTGTGAGACATGATAAACCACTGCAGGTCTTAATTGGTCACTCTGGTAGAGGTCAGGAACAGGTGTGAGCTTCCAGGAATGTAGGTCTCATTCAGACAAGAATAAAAAAAAAGGTCTCAGGTGTGAGCTGATGAGATTCTGTTGTGTTGTGTTTCTTCACAGTTCCAGTGACCTTGAGAAGAAATGAAGTGCACAGGAAGGACAGATGAGGCCGGAGGACATGTCTGAGCCCTAAAAAACCCTCTCACCCTTCGTCTTTATTGACTGCATGCTGTCTTCATGGTCTCCGGGTCAGAAGGGCAGGACGAGGACCACGTTACAGTGAGTTTAACCGACAGGGACAATAATGAGCTCTTGTTCTGCTGAGCCCTGGGGTATTCCAATAAAACACTCACTCTGCTGTAAAGAGACACTCAGGTTCTTTTGTCTCGCCGAAGGAGAAGTTTAGATCCAGGTTATACTGCTCCGCTCTTCTTAACACAGACAGACACTGTTTCATATATGATTTTAGCCTTGGGAGATTCTTATAAAACCTTTAAATTCATAACTTTAAATGCATCCTGGATCGTATCGTGCCAATGTAAATATTTGACCCTGGTTCAGTCAAGGCCAGGTTCACGTGCTGCAGCCTCTCCGTGACGAGGAAAAACACCCTGCGGTTTATTGATGTGGTGTGAATTTATTAGGTTTCCACTTCAGTTGAATGAATTAAAAAAAATTCCACCTTACTCCGCCTTTAAAGAGAAGCAATAACCGATGATTTGTAGGTTTCTTTAACATCACTAATGGCAGCAGCCGTCATTGATCATCATCATAAGTCACACAAATTGCTGGAATTTGAAATATAACTTTTGCGTGGACAGCTTAACTATAGTTCCCTGAAAAGACATGGTTGACATCTGTCTCTGATTCCCACTCACTGAACCTGTTCCTGTTCCTTCTCTGGGCCATCTGTGCATTAAGTGCATTACCAGACATCCCAGGAAATAATCTGATTAAACACAAACCAAAATGGCAAAAAGGAAAAAGAAGGATACAGATGATTGATGCTCCAACTGTTGGTTCAGCATCAGTTGTGTTCATTTACCTGAGAGCAAGGGTCGAAAACTTCCAGGTTCAGCTGTCGGCCGTCGATCGACAGCCTTTTGTGGTAGAGAGAATCTGCAGGAGAGAAATAATCAGAAAGAATGAATAATATTATAAACAATGCAGTATTTTTACAACTAGGGCAGTCAAAAATAAGGAGTTAATCACATGAATTAATTTGTGAAATGAATTAGACTAAATATAATTAAGTATATTAATTTGTGAAATGAATTAGACTAAAAATTTTAATCCACCTCCAATGCATGGGTAGAATGACTCACTAAATGATTTCCAACGTCCATCCACTTATCCTTGCTCTAATACAGGGAGCATATTTTTGTTGACATTTAAATAATCTAATTTGGATTAGTCACAAATAAAAACAGTTGTGAGACACACACATCTACCTGTTACAGTATCTGAGGTAAATCCAGATGCAAACTCCGTTCAGGATCACCATCTGTTACCAATGAGGCCTGAACTAGTGATTAGCTTGATGTACAAACCATTCGTGCCCTGTGTGACCCATTTGTCGAGCTGAATTTGGGGAGGCACCACGAGAAATTCACCAACGAGTGTACAGTACGTACGAGTCTTCAAAGTCAAGTTCTCAGGTCAACGCGACGTCAACCACTGTTCCACAGCTGACATCTACAGTTCTAAAACTTCAGTTAAACTTTGAGTCTCTTCATGACTAACAGAACACCATGTCTGTGTTTGAAGAGAATCTCTGATTTCCAAAGGCCTTTATTCAAATCTGGAAACACTTACTGGTGTTGGAGGCGTATTCACCGATGAAGCGCCTGGTCAGGAAACGCACAAGGACAGCTGGAGGGAATAATCAAAATTAAAGTCAGCAAATGAATCACAGCGCCATTACACTCTCATCCCTCACAGGTGGCGGCAGGGGGGGCAGGAGGGGAG